TGTCGATTCGTTGTTCCTTACCGTTCGTCGATTCGTCGTTTGTCTTCCAGGAGGAAGCAAGGACAAGGATTCTCTGTTCTTCCTCTCCCGATTCATTCTTCTTGTTGTTTGTTGTTTGTCGTTCATCTTTCCCTGTCGAGCTTATTCGAGAAGGTCGCGGCAGAGAGATGGAAGAACGTCCGGGGGGATTGGGAGAGAGAGAGAGAGAGAGACGGAGCCTGATTATTTTTTGGGGAGAGTTTGGTTAGAGAGAGGGAGGCGGAGCGGCGGGAACGGAGAGAGAATGAGATGGGGTCGGTTGTTACTTGTTAGGTTTAGGGTTAGCTTTTTTATGTTTTAATTATTATTATATATACTAAAGGTAAATTATTATATTTTAATAAAAAGATAAATACAAATCAGTCTTCAAACTTTTTACTCTTATCATTAAGTGTGTATATTTGTTGAAGTGTGTATAATTGTAATGTTGCCCGTTGTTGACTGTTGTAGGTATTTAATAATTTACAACGTATATCTCGGTTTTATGGACGAATCCGGTATGACTTCCAATACGATTTCATGGACCATGCTTTCAACTCGTGTCTCGTGCAAGTTGCCCTAAGTGGATTTGATTGTAGTTTCTGTAACCACAACTTAGGGATCATCGTAATGTTCTGCATTATAATTGTATGCTCTCTTTGATCTAAACACTGCACAATCGATCATACTAGAGGAATTGAAACACAATAAAACCAGAAGTCCCAATTGACAACACCATAGAGCTCCAAGAATTTCTAACGGAGAATAACCTGACCAATGGGAGGACCCCCTTTAACAGAACGTTCTGAAACATCTCATACATGATCCTTAGCATAAAGGTCCCTTTTGAGAGCATATGCAAGAGTTCGGTTTGTTGATCTATGGGAACTAGGGTTGTTAATGAGCCGAGCCGACTCGAGCTTTGGCTTGTTCATGTTTGGCTCGTTTATAAACGAGCCGAGTCGAGTCGAACACGAGCCAACTCATTTATTAAATCTTGACACATCATTAAGATCGAAAGTTCACCTCGAGCTCAACTCTATGATAATTTATAATATAAATACCCTAATATTTATATGTCATATGTGATACTTGTGTTTACCTAATGTTATGTCATATATGAGACTTATTTGCTTACATATACTCAATATTAAACACCATATGAGGTGATATATACAATTTAATAATTATATGCATCATTAACAAACCAACTCATAAAATATAGATTGATTTTCTCATAAGTTGTAGTCGAGTTGGCTCTCTAGTCACAATGTTGGGACATCTCATAAGCTCAAAATGAGCTAGTTCACCTAATCGAGCTAGTTCACGAGCGTCACGGGTCGAACAATGTAGAGCTTAAAACGAGACAGTTTATTAATGAGCAAAGCTTTTTTTTTAATCGAACGAGCTTTTATCGAGTTCGATACCTAGCCGTTCACGAATAGCTCAACTCATTAACATCCATAACTACCTCTTGCATCTTATCCGTGAAACCAGACAAGTCACCCATGCCTAGTAGGAATAAGCTTCTTATTAAATTAAAGTGTTCATAAATCATGAACACTATACATTTAAATAACTGAACTTGGTAGGGTAAAAAGAACCAGCCTAATTATTCTGCTAACTTGAAGATTCGTTAGTATATACTAACTAATATCCAAGTCTGTTTAATATCTAGATAGCACAGACTAGTATTCAAGACATCACAAACTAGTATCCAGATAGCAAATACCAACTAATATCCACAATCAACCAACTAGTATTCAATATGGATACTCTTATGTGTTATCTGGATACTAATTATGTGCTGTTTGGATACTATTCTGTGTTGTCTAGATATTAGTTTGTGAATTTGGGATAATAGTTGATTCATGGTGGATATCAGTTAGCAAACTTTGAATACTAGTCTGTGCTCTCTAGATATTTTAGTACTTGAATATTAGTTCATGTATTTTGGATATCAGTTAGTATCTACTAACGAATCTTCAAGTTAGCAGATTAACTTTCCCAAAAAGAACACTACAAAAAAAGTGCTATCACCAAGAGAGATGACAGGGCTTTTTGTTGTAGCAACACATAGAAAGAATCCGTGTCAATGTCTGAGTAATCAATGCTTATGAGAATTCCTTTGATTTCTCAAGCAATTGCGGCATGCAAGAAATTTTGACCGTTTGTAGAGAGAAAGAAACTAGCAAACGTTTCCGACTTCTCATTAGATGAAAATGGAAAATGCTTTTCTATCACATATTTGTCAAAAGAAATACTTACGCACTAAAAACACCACCACCCTTTGCATGACCATTCATTATAGTAACACATTTGTCGAAAGAAATACTCACGCACTAAGAGCACCACCACCCTTTGCATGACCATCCATTTTAGTAACAAACATACTAGGATTATTATTATTATTGGGGGTTAGGCCGCCAAGAAAGGGGTTGGGTCTATTTTCTATATAAGTATGCACTTTGAATCTTACGAAGAATAAATTACAAAAGTATTATCAAAGTATTTCTCAAAACCCTAATATCTCTTCTCTCGATTTTGTCACCTATCTCCAACGATCAAAGGTCGTTCTTCTCCTAAATCTCCAACTTACTCTTCTTAAATTCCTAAATCCCCAATGTTGTTTTTCTCAATCTCAATTCCTAATTCAGTTCTAAACCCTAAAGATATGTAGTTCTTTCACATAGATCAAACAGCAAGACTTTGCTTAAATGCTTGAGTCTGGTCAAATGCCGCTTAACCTATATCGCTATCCATGACAAATATGACAAGATCTGATTTCTAGAAGATGAGGAAAGAAAGAATTAAGTCTTACTCCTTCAGAAGACTCGTACCATATCATCTATGCATCTGTAAATGGCAAAATACTGTGGCTTCAGAAACTTGACGCATTTCTTCAAACAAGGCAACTTCCTATTTATCACAGCCACTGGTATGAATAATAATTATATCACAATTCTCCTTCTTCAACCATTCCACACCAACACTTTGCTCAAATGCATCTTCATATATATTGTTGTCCATGACAAATATGACAAAATCTGGTTTCTGGAAGATGAGAAAAGAAATAATTAAGCCTTGCTCCTTCAGGAGACTCATACCATATCTCCTATATATCTAAAACTAGAAAAGTATCGTATCTTCAGAAACCTTTACGCATTTCTTCAAACAAGGCAGCTTCCTATTTATGACGCCCACTAGTATCAACAATAATCATATCACAATTCTCCTTCTTGAACATTTCCACACCTTCCTCAGCTATTTTAACATGATATGATTCCACTTAGCAGGACAGGGTAGCAAGAAATAATTAGGAATAACATCATAAGATCTACCAAGTACAACAAAAGCAAAGATGACATTAAGGGGTCGTTTGGAAGTTGTGATTTCAAATGGTGTATTGATCTAATTCATGTATTTGTGAGATTAAGTCGTTTTTTTGGTTTATATAGAACTAGAATACATGCATTTACTTTTTGGAGGCCCCACCACAATCACTCAATATTGAGGGATTTACAATCTCTACTTTTTGTTGAGATTCTTCACAATCACTCAATACTAACTTTTTTACCTTTGGAACAAAACACAATCTAAACCTCCAAACAAGATATTTACCTAATACACCAATTGATTCAATCCATCAAATGATAATACACTAATTGTCCCAATACATCAATTTAAAGAATCACAACTTCCAAACAACCCCTAAGTAGCATAACTTCCATAGAATGGAATCTTAACTTTAGCCTCATTCTGCTTCAACTAATCAAAAGCACCAACTCTGAATGTATGCACAAACTAAAGCAGGCTTGAAAAGTTAAAGAAGTGAGATTGGATATAAAAAACAATGGTAAAAGACACTGAAAGAAGTCTTTTTTTTGTAAAAAAAGAAGTCATATATTGACACTAGGTAAACATGATTAACCAGACATAACAACTGGAAACTATCAAAACCCATAATAAAGAGGCGCAATTCAGAAAAAGAAAAAATTTCGGCAGGAAATACACATTTAAAATTGATATGCACATACCTTGTAATGTAAACCAACAAACATGACTACGATTGTTTTTACTTTCTTTGGTGCAAAAGAAGGCTTCCGAGGATCCAATATTTTACAGAGCTGATTGAATATTGCCTAACGATCACGAATTCATATATGTCAATACATAATAACACATAGCAGAATCTTAAATATGATATCAGCATTACAATCCAAAATGAGATGTCACCACTGCAGTAAGGCACGACAACTAAGCTACAATCCACCAGAAATGAGTACATTCAGACATCTTTCTGACTCCTCAAATATGTTTAAGATATCAGGAAGGGTATTTCAATTTCTTATCATGCAGTCAGACGACATCAACAGTTTACACAAGATGTCATAACAAAGTAACTAAATGCACGTAATTTCAGGAGTCACATAACAATACAGCTTAGCAATGTATGTGAAGCCATAGCAACTAGTACCTTCGAGTACCTAGAGAAAGAGTCATGCATGTACTTGAATTTCTGAGAGCAAAAGCATGCATATCCATAGAAGGAGCAGGTGTGTCGCTACGTATAAGCGTTGTATTTCATCGCATGCATCACCACTAGAACCCATGAAACCTCCATGTGGTAATATAGGGAGTTCCTCCCAGTCTAAACTAATCGATTGGCCGGTTCCTTGATTCTTCACAAAGGAATACTCTTTCCGCAAAAGATTTGGTATCACTGTCTCGAACAACAACTGTCAGAATATGAGCGTGCAGTTTCAATTGCTGGAGGCTACCGAAAACTTTTCTTGTAACACCTAAGGACAGAATTAAGGCCACAAATGTATTATCTATATTTTCTTCTTTTTTACTGTAGAAGACACTTTGAAATTTCATCTTGAAGATGTCAGATATAATGATTAAGCTTTGTAAATTCTTACAAATTCGGAATTCCAGATTTAGATCTCGTGCATTCTGTACATGTGTATGTTGGTGATATCGATTGATGATCACACAGTAATCATCAATCGATGGCAAAACTACTCAAAATTACCAGAAGGAGCGCAAGAGGTAAAAAAAATCCCAAAAAAACTTCTTCAGTAGTTAGAGCATAGATACCAAGCTATAACGACACAAACCATAATCCATAAGGGCACTCAAAACTAACAACCAAACTGAAATCACGGATGCCCCAATACAACATAATACTGTATAGATCTGAAGATCATAAGTCAGTAAGAGACATGTATTCCAAGTTCCAACTAAGCTGGCATAAGCATAATTAAGATAGATCTATTTTGACAAACAGCAAAAGACTTGAGCACTGACAAACAACATGTGACCAAAACCACACCCTTCACTTGAGAGGGATGAATCTCGAGGAGTGAGTAGCACCAATACCAGGCCTTCCGTGCTTCACAGGCTTGTATGAGATGGAGAATTCAGCCAGGTAGTGACCGATCATCTCAGGCTTGATTTCGACCTGGTTGAAGGTCTTGCCATTGTATACGCCAATGACGCTTCCGATCATTTCAGGGACAATGATCATGTTGCGGAGGTGGGTCCTCACTGGCTCTGGCTTCTCGCCTGCTGGTGCCTCCCTTTTCTGTTTGCACAACAAACAAACTGTGTTTAGAAGATGAACATCGCCTCACAGTCACAGCTCATATCACAACCCCTCAGCGATCAATCTTCGCACATCACATGATACGAATCCATCATCCTTGATATAACATGCACCATTCAATACTAAACAATTGAAAGAAATTGATATCAACAAATGGGGTGCATTGACTAAATTAGCAAATGTAACAGAGCAGGGCAGCCAAACAAATGTTAAGCTATAGTCAAATAACGGTACTGAGATTTATCAATGCACTAACATTCTCAGAGGAAAAGGAATTGACAGCCCTAATTAGGCTATTCCAAAATCAACTATCACCATCCTTAGCAGAAGGTAAAACAAGAAGCTATATTTCAAGGTCTGTGCAAGGGCAAAATGACCCTGAAACTCCAGATTCAAATATACGACCTTCACACAAGTAAAACAAGAGTAGGATATCTTACCGCCTTGCGAAGCTTCTTGATCAGAGCCATAGGCTTCCTGGTCAGGCCTCTCTGGAACCTATCATTACAATGAAGAACCAAGTTTATAACAGTAAGAAACCGTCCTTTACAATTTCACAAACCCCCCACAACCACAAACGTTTTTACAGACTACACGAGCGTTACCTTCTGCGAGCACGAGCAGTGAAGAGCTTCACGAGATCATCCGTGGACATGTCAAGAAGAGAATCCAAATCCACACCTCGGAAGCTGAACTTCTTGAACGTTCTCTTCTTTGGCTGTTCAGCAACAGCGACATCGGCCTCCACCTCCGCCTGCAAATTAAACAATCACGTCAACGCTAGTCAAATTCCGGCCAACTCCACCGACGACTGAGACGATAAGAGGGACTGGAGTGGGAGAGGGACCGAGAGGCTCACCATGATTGCAGGTCCGAGAGTGGAGATCCGAAAACCTTGGTCGATTGGTTGTCTGCTGCTGTGTAGATTGGCGGCAGGTAGGGTTTTTTAGGAAAGCGGAGATGCAAATAGACGAGAAAGTCGGGATTATATATGAAGTGACTGCGGGCCTCGGATTTACCCACAGCCCTAGATGATAGAGATTAGAGACCAGCCAATTGGGTTGACAAACGTACGCGTATGAAGGCCCTTTTGGGATTAAGTTCCAGGCCCAATCTATGCGACCAGAATGGAATTATAGGCTTGGCCCAAACTTGAAGTTTGGGTTCTTCCCAGCCGAGTGACAACCTCCAAAGATTCTGCGCGATCCTGTGGTTTATCTGGAAGGAAAGATGTAATCATATGTTTAATAACAGGAAGCTCGAGGAAGAGGAGATCATTCCAAAAGCAATTGAATGGATTATCAATTACCTCCAAGCCTAGGGTACCAGTGCCCAGAACGCAAGACAAGCTATGAGCACCCAGGGATGGAAACCACCCCCGGCCGGAATCATCAAGATGAACAGTGACGCAGGGATACTGAAATCGTCGGGAATTGGAATTGGATGCGTTTTTCAGGAACTGACATGGTGATTTTCTGGGGGCGATTGCTGGGAAAGAATCGGGGATCTGTAGACCGGCAGAGGCAGAAGCTAAAGCAATTCTCGCTGGGCTGAGAGAAACTAATCGAATTTGGTCAAGTTGCTGGATAAGGAAGAAGAGGATAGAACTGAACTGGGGATATGGTGTAAGGAGATAAAGAGAATGGCGGATACCAACTCGGCTATATCTGGAAGAAAAGTTGAGTGGGCTTTCGTGCCAAGGAGCTCAAACTCAGTGGCCCATGGTCTTGCCCATTTGAATTCTCATGTTAACCAAATGTGTATCTGGACTGAAGGTCCACCAAACTCCATTAGGAGTCTGTTAGAGGCTGAGAAAGCCCAATTTGCTGAATTTTAATAAAATCCTCACAGGGCTTCTTATAAAAAAACAGTTTGGGTTCTTTCAATTATATTTTTTTATTCATAGTCAATATTTGAAAAATAAATTATCTCAGGTAGCAACTTACAATTAAGAGTAGACCTTTAAAAATATATTTTTCTCACTCATACACTAACACATAGTTAGTAAAATATGGGGTTAATTGCAAGGTTGGTTATTGAGATTACAAAAAGCGTTTATGTTTGGTCACTACAAATATTTAATTTCAATAGTGGTCACTAGGTTTAGTAAAATAGGTCACGTTTGGTCACTCTCCATTAGTATCTATTTGTCTCTGTTAACACCGTCAGTTATTTGCTGACGTGGCTAACAGACATGTTGTTTTTCTGGCAGCTTGCTTTTGCTAGGAGGCAGCTTACTTTGTAGCAACTTCGAGCCTTTTGTGTGAAGCCTTCCATATACCAAATCTTTCATCTAATGCCTTGACTTTGTAGACAAACATACCTACTTTCATGTGGTAGAGGCCCCTGGGCTCGACTCTCATCCATGCTTCTCGAAATGAGCTCCAAAGTAGGCTTCACAAACACATTCCCAGACTTGGTCATTTTCAGGCAGTTTCCCAGTTTTGGCATAGCCTTTTGATTAGGTTCAAAAATGGTCTTCTGGACTTCCTATCGAGCTCCCAAGCACTTCAATGTGTAGAGGGACACTCCAGTTTCAACACAAGCCATTAATCTCCAATTTCCATCCAGCTAATTGTAAGATATGAATATCCAAAGTAGGCAACATGAAACTATTTTTACACCGAAACAACAGAGTATGTCGATCTAATCTTAACTCAGTTCGACCGAAAAGTGCAAGTTACGTTAACTTTCAAGGCTCCATAGGCACACCCCAAACTTTTTATAATGGTGAATGGTTTGTTGAAAATTAACAAAGTGCAACAACAACCAAAACCTCAAAAGTCGTGAATCCCCATCCAAAAGGGAAATATTGAACCGAACAGGGGGAAAAAACCAACACAAGAACTGGATAGTGGAGGGTGGAGGGTGGAGAAAACAAAATAAACCCACACAAGCAACTCCAAGGAAAAGCAGGGGACATATAGTCCTCGATACAACAACGAACAAACACAAGGGGGCACCCACATCCTGCAACAAACATCCAGCTCACTGCAACAACTCACAACAAAAACCTGTATCAGCAGGACACCCGCAACCTGCAACTAGGGGTGAACAAACACACCCGCAAACCGACCCACCCGTCCAACCCGACCCAACCCACCCGTATTTATCGCTAAAACGAAGGTTTTGGGTTGGGTGAGGGTTTTCTTTTGTACAACCCGCCTCTTTTGGGTTGGGTTTGGATTTTGGATTACACAACTCGTAGAACCCGACCCAACCCGTGTTCCAACCATTAGTATGAGTTCGTGTCTAAAAAATATTTATGTCGTATATAGCAGAGAAAATTAAGATATTTCGTCATGTTTTTCTATCATGGTCTCCCTAATCTAATGCATTCTTCGACTTAAAGTTTAGACATAAATTGAATATAGTTATGATTCACGTAATCCTTTTTCTTGTGTACAATTTTAATAGAATAACATATTATGGATGCGTTTGTTTATAACCTTTTTAGCCTATTTCAACAAATATCGTGAAAAAAACTAGACATATATTGAAGTAAATCACATTTTATTAAAATTCAAACAACATTTGTGAATTTTGATACCTTTCACTTCGGTTTATTCGTTTGAAATTTTAATTAGTTCTAAAATATTTTTTTATGATGTATAATAATTATAAATTTTATGTTGGGTTGGATTTTTACTTAAAAATATCGCCAACCCGACCCAACCCAATTAGAACCAAACCGTAGGGTTTAAAATTTTTTGGGTGGGTTTGGGTTTGATAATTCCCAAACCGTAGTGCATGGGTCGGGTGATTAAAATGGTTAAACCCGAACCACCCGACCCATGTACACCCCTACCTGCAACACACGACCAGCTCAGTACAGCAAAAGACATTCAGTAACTTCACACTACATATTAGTAAATACTCCGTTTAATATATGTATATGTACCCGTACGTATTTTAACCGTTTAAAACTTATGTATATGTATTATTGTCAAGCTGTTTCATTTCTTTCCGTTCTTTTGATGGCTCCCGTACTAAACACGTATAAAACCAATATAGTACATTTAATATCCGTTTTTAATGAATTTAATTATTAATTTTACTATTATTTATATATTTATTTATTTTTAAAATAATTATTTGTATATATTTATAACTATTACCATTAAATGTAACATTAGCTTAGAGACGAAGTAAAATACTCATATTTATTTTATACGTAACTTTCCCATACCGTATTTTACCGATTATGCGTCACAGCAGTAGCACCAAACTCAGGAGCCTCTTGTCTTTGCTATGAGACAACACCCAACATTACCAGGATCAACTGCTGAATTTTTATAGCCCTCCTGTTTTCCGAGTTTTTTCCAATTCTAGCACCATTAAAAAAAAATTACAAAACTAGCACCCAAATAAAAAAAATTACAATTGTAGCACCAATTTTTTTGGAACGCACCCCTAAGATGCGTTTTATAAGTAAACCGCACCAGCAGGGTGCGTTTTAATTATAAAACGCATCATAGGGGTGCGTTCCAGTTTACAAAACGCACTTGGGGGTGCGATTTACAGCTGCTGCGGAACGGTCTTCAAAACCGTTGGATGGAGAGGCGATCGGGCGGCTGAACGCTTGCCAGCGGAGCGATCCGCGCCAAAGCTTGCAGACCGCACGCCCGAGATGCAGTCAGCCCTAGGGAAGCGCAAAACGCGTTGGGAGGGTGCGGTTTTGCTTAGGGAAAAATTACCAGACCGCCCCTGGAGGATGCGGTCTGATGGGTATAAATACCCCCCCTCCCCCTCTCATTTCTTCGCACCACAACCTATTCTTCCTTCTCTCTCTACAATTTATCTCTCTAAACCCTCCCCACCCAAAAGCCTAGGAAATAGTGGTCTGTTGGTTGCAGCTAAGTCCGATCTGCCATCAGAAAATATTTCTTAGGTTTTTTCCTCAAAACCCGCCAAGCCGAGTTGAAGCTCTGTCCGAATTGCGCCGAAAAAATGGCCGATTGGTGGCAAGGATAAGGAGTTTATGTTGATGAATTTCAAGCGGTACGGACTCATTATTCTAGTTTAATTTTTGTTGTTGTTATAAGCTTTTTAATTAATCTATGTACTAACCTCGTTGTTATTTTCTCGTAGGTTGGGGAGGACGTCGATATATACAACCAACGGTATTATCACGAGCAAGGACTGTTGGATCCAACCGACTTGTACGACCAACCCAACCATCGGTCAAGGGATGTTTGGAACGCTCACCCGGTACATACAATTCTTCACCATTTGTCCTTCTTTTATTTTGTTAATGTGCCTAGTGTAATATAAAATAAATTTATGTTGATTTTTAATCGTGTTGGTGGTTTTCAATAATTTAATCGAATACATAGCGCCACTTACTTCGACTCTTTATAAAGAGATGCACGTCTAAGGAAATGGGGTTTTAAGCGATTATCATATCCTCCCATTACCTGGGAAAATCGGGCATTAAGAGATCCTCGGATCCCCCCTTTTTCTGTCAAAAAGACTGCGTTTCTAAGAAGATGTATACCTCTTCTAAGAGTCTAACGAGTGTTTCTTTGTATTCGATTAAATTATTTAAAACAACCAATACGATTAAATTATTTACCAAACAACCAATACGATTTATTTTTATGTGCACAAAAAGAATTTTATTAATTTCAAACATTTGAATATGTATGTTTCTATTTAAATTATTATTCATTAACAATGTTATTTATGTTAATTAATTTAGTATGTTTGTTTTACGATAATATGTATGTACCTCTTTAAATTATTATTCATTGACAATGTTATTATGTTAATTAATTTATGACGTTTGTTTTATGATAATATGATAATATGAAATGTCTTTTTATGATAATCAAATTTTGCTTGATGTCGCATAATTTAATTTAATTAATTTAGTTATAAGAAAAAAAACCCTTACTAATATATAATAATTAACGTGTAAATTTTTGCTAGGAGGCACAAACAATAATCCGCTACAGGGGTACCACCAATGTGCTCCCATTCCACCCAGCTATCTTGCCCTTTCTCAAAAGGGCACGGTTAGACTCGATTAGGCATTTTAACGACATCCAAATTGATCGCCAACTCATCACCGCATTAGCCGAGAGATGGAGGAAGGAGACCCATTGTTTCAA